CAAAAATCAGCTGTCGCCGTCAACCATTTATAACCTAGAGCCATCTTTTGAAAACGGACCGAACTAAGTTGTACACCCAATACATACACGTGTCCACCTGAAAAGTCCTTTAAAACTTACCCAAAAGCGACATTACTCACGACTCGGTCCAATAAATGGGACGAATCGTCTCTTCGATTTTTTGCGGCTCTACGTGAGCGCAACGTGAACGAAGTGACATTCCTCAAGAGACGCGGTTGACGTGAAATCACGTGTCAGGATCGAATGTATACTTGACATCTCCGCGCGGCGGAATCTCCGGTGGCATCGTTGGCATCGTAAGTTCCCGACAGATCCGACACAGTGCGCCCGCAGATGGCCCATAACGCGTATTCGCTCGCTTTGTGATAGCGCACACGTATCATCCATCAGCCGGCCCGCGTATACCGCGCTGCAACATTCAGCCGCTTTCAGCGCGGCACGTAAACCGTCCACGTCAAGGTAGCCCATAACCCTCCGGCCTTCATGAGCGATATGAAAGCTCGCTTTTCGACGCGGGAGCAAATAATGCCGCGGCGGATAGCCGCAAACGAGCGTCGTTCGCATCTTCCCCCGCCTTTCCGCTGATCACGGCCCTCGCTCTGCAAAAACAGCCCCTTTCCGCGCTTCGCGCGTCCTAATATCGCTGAGTGCCGCTCTCCCCTTCTCGGGGCCGCTCTCGCCGTCGTCATCGTCCACCCTCGTGTTTCCCCGGCGAATATTAAAAACCGTATCTGGTATTGGCGACCCGATCGCGCCGGTCCGACACAGATCTGAAGAAGCACTTCCTGTCGCCACCCTATTCGCTGTCGGTGGAGGTCGGCCGCAACGCTGAACTGCGATGCTCGCCACCGTTGGGTGTACCGTTGCCCAAGGTGTACTGGCTGAGGAACGGCTCGCCCCTCGAGACAACGACGACCGCCGGCGCCGCTTCCAGCGCCTCCGAGGCGAACCCTAACGACATGTCCGCGAGCAGCTTTGTGCAATCCGCCGATGGGCATCTACTGCTAGGCGAGGCCGAACTGAGGCATCAAGGGAATTACTCGTGCGTCGCTGAGAACTTAGCCGCGAGGAGGGTTAGCGAGCCGGCAGTGCTCACGGTGTATGGTGAGTGATTCTTTTGCCTTGCGTATCGCACGTACCTCTGCGAAGCACAGCGAGAAACCGCCACGGGAAAACGATCGAGGAACGCGCGCGGGACGCACGGGGAGCTTGTCTCGTTTTGAACGCCTCTCTTCAAGTATTTTATGAACTGTCAATTTGAAGCAGAAATATCTTAACTAAGGATGATATGATCTAAAAATGATCTGTTCGAGGTTATTCTAAAGTTAATTTTATGGAACTTCAATTTTTTTATGTTTTTGTAACTAAATTCAAGTTTTGAAAATAGTATAGTTTACAATTCAATATGAAAAAAGGCACTATCTTGATACAATCATGGATCTTTGAAGTCCGACAATTACTTCAACTATTTACAATGATTTAAGAAATCTGCAAAAATTCATGAATATTCTTTCAAGTTTATAGAACAAACATATGTAATTAAAATTGGACGATAATAATATGTAGTATAGTTTATTTATAAAAAAGGAAACACAGATCGAGGAAATGAGAGATTTGATTTAATACATTGTAACTTTGCACAATGCACTCTGCATTTTGCTCTTTGACACTTCGAGAAACTTCCAAGAAAAAAATTCTTTTGGAGTTGAAAGACCTATGATTGTATTCCACGGATTAATATCCTAGATAGGCTTTCATGATTATCACGACGTAAGAGAATATCGATGATAAAAGCTCTATAATTCTTTTAAGTCCAATCATAAGCTGAATATACTATATCGCATCAATCATTAAATTTACATTATATTATACAATAACATAAATTTTTTATTATACAGTAGCAGCTATATATTTATATTCAAAGTTACAC